AGAATTCTCATCAGTTGTAATAAACTAATAACTACTGAGTTTCTAGGGTTTACTTCTTTCAAGTACATCCCAAACACATTAATCATAGCACACTCATTTCTATAATTTCCTTTCATCTCCTTTAAAACCATTCTTTTTGCTCTTTCACATTTCTTGAAGTTGATATTTACCCTAAGCTCATTATAAGCAAATGTCATCATGCCTTTACATTTTATGAAAGGAGTGGCATAAATTCTACTTTTAAAGTACTCAGCCACCATCTCACAAGTCATCATCTTGTTGTTAGGATTTTTGAAACAAGTGTGTTCAGGGTAGTAACTCTTTACCTTGAAGTTGTTGTCCCTCTTCTCAAATAAAGCATAAATCTCCCAACTGCACAAACCAGCCCTGCAAACAAACCTCTGCCTTCTAGATTCATTCTTAATGTGTATAAGAGGACATCCTTTCCTCACAAAATAATGTTTGACTGCTTTCTTGAATTGTTTGGAACTTTGAAACCTCATTCCAACTTAAAAAATATGGACATCCCAAGCAGGATTAAAGTAGACATTTGAAGCTCTTCTTGGTCTATCTGCTGCCCTAGGAGCAGGAAAACTGTCATCTTCATAATCTGTTAGTGAGTCCCTCAACTTGCCAACATCATCACTTGGAGCATATTCATTATCTCTCCCATCATGATCACTATATAAGCCCTCATCATTATCAACTGGAACTGATTGGGATGGATGTACTGAATCTCCTTTCTTTCCTTTTTTAGGGGTTAAGTCCTTCCCCTTGTAAGACTCCCTAGCTTGTGGCAATGTTTTATACCTCTTATCTACAAGCTTGGCCTTTTCCTTTCTTCTTCTGGCCTTCTCAACAGGATCTATTGGAACCCCTTTGCTTATGGATGTTGAGGTTGAATTTGTTGCTTTCTTTGTAGGAGTAGATCTAGGAGTTGGTTTCTTTGCAATAGTTTTGTACCTAACCCCTATTTTTGAACCCTCAAAACCTGGAAGAACTTCTAATCCTTCTATTGGTCTCTTTAGAGACCTTGCAGTAGCCTTCACAGCAATGGCTTCATCATCATCTTTATCACTACCATTGACAGGATCTGCTTCTTCATTTGTTGAGCTCCAGTCATCAACAGAACACTCTTCTTCATAGCCACCTCTATTACTGCATTCAC